CCCTTGTTTTGCACGAGGCGCTTTATGAATATAATTTAATGTATTATGAATTAAGTAAATTGGGTTTCAAGTTTTAGAGAAGCAAAGACATGTCATGTTAGAAAAGACAGACCTGCACAATGTTGCTATTATTTGATATATATGCTTTTATAGAGGTGCCTTTTTTTATTTATGATAACCTGATATAGGATGGTTTGATTGTTATGCAATTAAAAATACAAATATAAAAATAGTTCCAGAAGTTCATATTATCCAATAGAGAGCACGTGGTAAACACCAACTACAACTGAATGTAATCTGGTAACAAAAGATGTTCAGGTGTATATCAGAATGTAGTGTCTCTACTTTAAAGAGTCCTCTCCTGCTGATGTTCAGGTGTATATCAGTATGTAGTGTCTCTACTTTAAAGAGTCCTCTCCTGCTGATGTTCAGGTGTATATCAGTATGTAGTGTCTCTACTTTAAGAGTCCTCTCCTGCTGATGTTCAGGTGTATATCAGTATGTAGTGTCTCTACTTTAAGAGTCCTCTCCTGCTGATGTTCAGGTGTATATCAGTATGTAGTGTCTCTACTTTAAAGAGTCCTCTCCTGCTGATGTTCAGGTTGTATATCAGTATGTAGTGTCTCTACTTTAAAGAGTCATCTCCTGCTGATGTTCAGGTGTATATCAGTATGTAGTGTCTCTACTTTAAAGAGTCCTCTCCTGCTGATGTTCAGGTGTATATCAGTATGTAGTGTCTCTACTTTAAAGAGTCCTCTCCTGCTGATGTTCAGGTTGTATATCAGTATGTAGTGTCTCTACTTTAAAGAGTCCTCTCCTGCTGATGTTTAGGTTGTATATCAGTATGTAGTGTCTCTACTTTAAAGAGTCCTCTCCTGCTGATGTTTAGGTTGTATATCAGTATGTAGTGTCTCTACTTTAAAGAGTCCTCTCCTGCTGATGTCCAGGTTGTATATCAGTATGTAGGGTTCCTTGTAGATACAAAAGTGTTTTAATGTGAAAACTTCAGAATCTGTATTTACCGCCATTCAAATGACAGCCAGTCTTTTCACCCAAAAAGGGGGCGTGGCCTTGCATAAAGGGAAAGTACCCGGATGTGTTGCTCTCAGCTATTGGGCCTCTTTAACAATCAAGTACACAAAAGGAACAAAATGGATCATCCTCTCAACCATCATGAAGTCAAACATACAAACAGTGAGAGCATCAGTACTTGTAAAAACATCAGAGTACTGGGATGTAGAGCGTGTGTTTGCTCAGGGCGACTGTAACCGGTCCATTATCTGACCACTGACACACTGGCAGAACAAAAGCAATGAGAGGGCCGGACAAAGAGGTACAATGACAGAGGGGGAAACACAGGAATGTGAGTCTGACGGGGACATGTGGGTTAAAGCCAGCTCTAATGAGTGGAAACAGCACAGGAATGAAGGAAAGTACAGAAAGTATGCAGAGTATTACTCCTCATCAGTCACAACTGTAATACTGTGGCTAACTGTAGCTCAGTGACTCAGCAGATGACTCATCGTTAGACAGATTACTCTGGCTCTTTGAGAAAGAGGGAGGAAACACAAACTACTGAAGCCTGTTTATATCTTACACACTTACTGTTAATACTGTCTCTTTGTAGTACAACTGGAAGATACACGTTTTAAACATCAAAATGAGTAGAAGTACTCAGATCTTGTACTTGAGTAAAAGTATAAGTACTCAGATCTTGTAGTAAAAGTATAAGTACTCAGATGTTGTACTTGAGTAAAAGTAGAAGAACTCAGATCTTGTAGTAAAAGTAGAAGTACTCAGATCTTGTACTTGAGTAAAAGTAGAAGTACTTAGATCTTGTACTTGAGTAAAAGTAGAAGTACTCTGATATTATACTTGAGTAAAAGTAGAAGTATTCAGATCATGTACTTGAGAGTAAAAGTAGAAGAACTCAGATCTAGTACTTGAGTAAAAGTAGAAGTACTCAGGTCTTGTACTTGAGTAAAAGTAGAAGTACTCAGGTCTTGTACTTGAGTAAAAGTAGAAGTACTCAGATCTTGTACTTGAGTAAAAGTAGAAGTACTCAGATCTTGTACTTGAGTAAAAGTAGAAGTACCAGAGTGTAGGAATACTCTGTTACAGTAAAAGTAGAAGTACCAGAGTGTAGGAATACTCTGTTTCAGTAAAAGTCCTGCATTCAAAATGTTCCTCAAGTAAAAGTAGAAAAGTATTCTCATCAAAATATAGTGAAAGTAGAGACAGTAAAAGTAGTCATTGTGCAGATTGGTCCATTTCAGAATAATATATATGATATGTTTTATAATGATTGATCATGAAAGTGTTCTCAAAGCTGGTGAAGGTGCAGCTAGTTTGAATGACTTTGTATACTGCAGGGTAGCTTGTGAATTTACTCCAGGTGGAACTAAAGTCTGATTTAACACTTGGTTATATTTCACATCATTCATCCACATCTGTGAAGTAACTAAAGGTATTAAATACATGTAGTGGAGGAAAAGTACACCATTTACCTCTGAACTGTAGTGGAGTAGAAGTACACAGTAAAACAAAAACTGAAATGCTCAAGTAAAGTACAAGTACCTCAAAATTGTACTTCAGTACATGTTTACTTAGTTACTTTACACATCTGGCTAATTGTGAATGTGGCTAACTTTATTAGCTTAGCATACTTAGCTACAGTAACCGTTATCCATCACAACAGCAGGTTGACAAAAGCATCACTTAAAACCCACATTAAAACTAGATATTTACACGTAAAAAGCACAGTGAACACGTGTAAACATTAGACCTATGATAAACTACTGTGTAATCTACTTACCTCTGTGTGTTGTGAAGGATTTCTCAGTTTAAAAACACAAATAAAGAACCAGCCGCATTCAGCGGTGTGACAGTCAGAATCTGGCCGGAAAAGGTGCTCCTCTTTCGGCCTCACCAGCACCGAACTCCGCTTAAAGAAACATGGGTAAACTAAAAAAAAAAGTCCGATAAAAAGCACCTTAATACTTAAAGGGTGTTTTTAACTGATGAAAGTGTGGAGGTCTGTGTCATTTCTGCGGTCAGAGACGGAGAAACAGACCGAGCTCACTGACAGCTCGGTGTCTGTTGACAGTTGGAAAAATAACAACGAAACACAGCAACACTTCCGGTCTGGGTTTTCAAAATAAGAGTCCACAGTAGTGCCTTGTCTCCTGTTAGTCTATGGTATTTTATTTATTTATTTTTCACTCTGCACCACCATAGCGATGATGCTGTAACTTTGAAACTGTTTCCGGTCTCCTTCTCTGGTTCATGCCGGACCACATGTGACAGAAACAAAACAAATGGCACCCCTTAGTGGTGGTTCATCTAAATGCTCTTTCAGGGGCTGCTGTTCAGACTGCAGACATTACATGTCACTTGTTAGACGCTTTTATCCAAAGCGACTTACATACATTCAGTACTGTTGACAATCCCCACAGGAGCAATTTGGGGTGAAGTGTCTCAGGGACACAACGACATGCTGACTGCAGTGGGGTTTGAACTTGTTATCCTCTGATTCAAAGTTCAGCGCACTAAGTTCAGCGCACTATCCCACTGAGCTACAGCCTCCCCTCAGACACACAGTGGATCCAGCGGACTGCAGTAAGTCCTCTAAATACCTGTTATCAACACTGAAGACAAGCTCTTAGGCTACACTTCTGACAGGGAATCAGTTATTTAGAAGCAAACTAGAGAATACCTTAATAAGATAAGATAAGAGCTACTTTATTGATTCCAATTTGGGACATTTTTGGATTGCAGCAGCATAAAAAAAAGTAAAATTGAGAAGTTACTACACACACACACACACACACACACACACACACACACACACACACACACACTTAAGTATGTTTGTATATGTAGGACTTTTACTAAGTAACAGTAAAGTTACAGTTAAAAGAGTATGTTACAATTTAGTGTCACTACTTTTTAATAAATTAAGTAAAATTGAGAAGTTACTGCACGCACACAGGCACGCACACACACACACACACGCACGCACGCACGTATTGTCTCTTTGCACTGCTGATAGCTCTCCGGAGTTCATACCTAGAATTTCTGAACTCCTCCAAATCTCGCTTTCAGCTTGGTACGCACCTCGCTGTTTATCCAGGGCTTTTGATTTGGGAATGTTCGTACAGAAACCTTCGTCATCGATGCATTTCCCAATGTAGCAGATGACCGTATCCGTGTGTGTGTTGATTTTATTGTCCTCAAACACACTCCAATCCGTAGATGCAAAGCAATCCTGCAGAGCTGAATCTGACTCCTCACTCCATCGCTGTACTGTTACCGGTCTGTCCCGTTTAAGTTTCTGCCTGTAAGCAGGAAGCAGCAGCAGCGTGCCATGTAATGTAATATAAGCATTTTTCCCTTTAAACTGTGGGTTTTCTCCGGAAGTGTTTCCTTGTACGATGTGAGGGTCTAAGGACAGAGGGTGTCGTATTGTCATACTGATATTCTGTACAAACTGTGAAGTCCACTGAGACAAATGTAACATTTGTGATATTGGGCTATATAAATAAACATTGATTGATTGAAGCAGTCAGTAGTGTATAAGCAGCAGTCAGTAGTGTATAAGCAGCAGTCAGTAGTGTATAAGCAGCAGTCAGTAGTATATAAGCAGCAGTCAGTAGTGTATAAGCAGCAGTCAGTAGTATATAAGCAGCAGTCAGTAGTATATAAGCAGCAGTCAGTAGTATATAAGCAGCAGTCAGTAGTATATAAGCAGCAGTCAGTAGTGTATAAGCAGCAGTCAGTAGTATATAAGCAGCAGTCAGTAGTGTATAAGCAGCAAAACGGGTCTTTAACCATAGTTTTCTTTTTTAAGAAAAGTTGATATTTTGTTAAAAAACATAACTTAATTGTGTAGTGGGTGTTAACTGGCATTTGGCTCATCATGCATACTAATCGTCTAAAGAGGAAGTAAATCTAGTCTATTAACAGCCTGATATCCGTCTTCTGCTCATTGACGACAGAGACGGCATCTTTGAACACATGGTTCCTCCTTCACTGTGAGTAGAAACAGTTTCTTGATGTAATGATTCTGTATACCTCCTGTGAACATTATTTAATCTGACATGTTTTATAGTCTCACAGAGATGAGAGGAGCAGCTATGAGTCTAACTGCAGCAGCGAGTGGATTAGTCGTCTTCCTGCTCTCTGTGTCAGGTACTGTACATCTACACTTACATTCATCACATGAACAGAGGGGATTCTGGGAAATGTGGGACTTGTAAAATCAGGTCACATGTGGGAATAAGTGGGATGGATTTGTGTAAAAGGCAAACCCAGCAGGAACATTTTAAATGTATGCATTTCAAAAACTTTACTCGTTTGTTTGATGGATTTTCTAAAGATCTTATCGTGCGTTGCCACTGTCCTTTGCTCCAATCATCTGCATCGAACATCAGTTTGCTTATCACCTTTACAAGCGTTAAAATGAGAACATAGTGTATGCAGAACTGTTCCATCCTCTCTCTGTGAAAACATTTTGCTTTGTTTTTTTCTTAAGACGACTTAAAGAATCTCCAGCTCTGTTTTTATTAAGTTTAAGTGATTTAGAGAGATATTCTTATTCTAATTCTTAACATATTGACTCAACTCTTATGGATCATACCTCTGCACCAAACCCTTCTAGTTCCTTCTCTCCTCTCTGACCTCAGTGTTATATTTCCACACCCTGAGTTACAGCAGTCTTCTTCTTTTTCTCATCTGTATATCAGACAGCAGCTGCTCACACCTCAGTGCTCTGCATTTAGAGTTATTGTTCACACTTACCTCAGCAGCATCCTGACCACAGAGCGAACAGAGAGGGAACTGTTCAGAGAATCTCACACTATTCTAATTAATATCAGGGATGCAAACTCATCAGGTATGAAAAAGGTAACAAGGATTCGAGCCCCCCGACCCCACGGAATATCGGCTTTAAAATGAGGAATAACAGGATGTTAGCAGTCAGAACAACTAAAGCAGTTAATAATAACAGAAACACCAAAGAGTCACATCTAATAGAAATGTATAAAAGCATTTATTTTAATTGTGTAGCAGTCAGTTTATAATTTTGGCAGCACTGTTGAGCATTTTGAAAATGTATTTTCGTGCCTCTGTGCAAGGCTTAGTCTTTCTATCTGTATAGCCAGTGGTGTAAAGTAACTAAGTTCATAAACTCAAGTACTATACTTGGGTACAATTTTGAGATACTTGTACTTTATTTAAGTATTTCAATGTTTTGCTACTTTGTTCTTCTTCTCCTCTACAGTTCAGAGGTATATGGTGTACTTCTACTCCACTACATGTATTTAATACCTTTAGTTACTTCACAGATCTGGATGAATGATGTGAAATATAATCAAGTGTTAAATCAGACTTTAGTTCCACCTGGAGTAAATCCACAAGCTACCCTGCAGTATACAAAGTAATTCAAACTAGCTGCACCTTTACCAGCTTTGAGAACACTTTCATGATCAATCATTATAAAACATATCATATATATTATTCTGAAATGGACCAATCTGCACAATGACTACTTTTACTGTCGCTACTTTCACTATATTTTGATGAGAATACTTTTCTACTTTTACTTGAGGAACATTTTGAATGCAGGACTTTTACTGAAACAGAGTATTCCTACACTCTGGTACTTCTACTTTTACTCAAGTACAAGATCTGAGGACTTCTACTTTTACTCAAGTACAAGACCTGAGTACTTCTTCTTTTACTCAAGTACAAGATCTGAGTACTTCTACTTTTACTCAAGTACAAGATCTGAGTACTTCTACTTTTACTCAAGTACAAGATCCGAGTACTTCTACTTTTACTCAAGTACAAGATCTGAGTACTTCTACTTTTACTCAAGTACAAGACCTGAGTACTTCTACTTTTACTCAAGTACAAGATCTGAGTACTTCTACTTTTACTCAAGTACAAGACCTGAGTACTTCTACTTTTACTCAAGTACAAGATCTGAGTACTTCTACTTTTACTCAAGTACAAGACCTGAGTACTTCTACTTTTACTCTAGTACAAGATCTATACTTATACCACCTGTTTATAGCCTATGAAAAAAACTATTTGAAAACGAAGGCTAAAGCTAACGTTAGCAGTGACAATGTATGCTAGTTAGCTAGCTCAACGATAATATTGCGACAGGAACACTTTTCAGTGCACATCACGCTCTGCCGCTCCGACAGGGAGCTCTGCTCTGAACACCTGAACGGCCCGTTCTAACAGCTGTTCACCAGCGGTCCAGTCTGTGTCACAGTGACTCCGGACCGCACAGTTAATATTAACGAACGCACCGTAGGTAATGTAGCTGCTGAAGCTAGACCCTCATCCCGGAGCAGCAGAGCCTTATTATACATCCATGAGCAGAGCCGACAGGAAGACTCGAGCACACAGCTCGCGCTGCATTATAATATATAAAAAAAGAACACCATGCGTGTCATGATGGCACATAACAGCTCGCGGCCGCAGATTACTCCGGGTCCCAGACCCCCCCCATACCCCAAAAATATTTTTATTGCAGATCTACATGAATCACACAAACGACCTATTTTGGATTCAAAACGGCGAATTTCGCCGAAAGGTGACAAGTTTGCATCCCTGTAATATGATCGCTAATCCTTCACTGTTCATTTATATGAATCTCGTGTCAAACTGAACATACCCTTTTTGCGTAGACTTCTGTTCTACCTGAGTCAAAGAGTATCATTGGTTTTAAAGTGCCTAAGAAGGAATTCACATGTGTGTTTCTGCTCTATCCCAGTAACGTTTGTAAAAGGTTTATTTTTACATTCTTTGTTGAAAGTATTGATCAGGCAATTTCTCAGCAATTTATTGATTAACTTTGATTCTAGTTTCTGATGTGCTCTGTGTTTCAGTGGTTCAGGGTCAACGTGGCTGGGGAGTGAGTTACAATTCTACTGAGATCTGTGCAGTGAAAGGATCAACAGTGGAGATAAGATGCAGCTTCACATACCCATCTACATTGAGAGGTCGTGTTAACACATTAGAGAAAACATTCTGGTTCACTAAATGGAAAGATGGTAAACTTTAGATCTGAACACAGAGTCAAAGTATGCAGGTCGTCTAGAGGATCTCTGTGGAAACAACATCTGCACTCTGAGAATCAGAAACCTGACAGAGAGCGACTCAGATCAGTACAGGTTCAGGATCATAACAAACCAAGATGCATACTGGGGTTATCCTGGAACCACTCTGTCTGTTACAGGTAACATTTACACTGGGTTTATGACAATAACTGAGTTATAACAATTAATTTCTTAATTTCAACTTCTTGCAAATAGTGTGAATGTTTTGATTTATATTTATGTACAAACATAATGACAGTTTTGTTAATTCTAGCTTTATTCAGATCTCCAGGTGGAGGTGATCAGATCAGGATCGTCTACTCTCCTTCAGTGTCTCAGCAGATGTTCACCTGGTCAAACTTCCTACATCTGGTTTAAGAACGGACAGGAAGTGAAGGAAGACACATCTTCTTATGCAGACTTCAGATATGATTCAGCAGACAGTTATTCCTGTGCTTTGAAGGGATATGAGGACTTCCCCTCTCCTTCAGTGTGTGAGTTTACTCAAAGTCTTCCACTAACATAATAACATTAACATACAGTATAACATATATCATCATTGCACTCATGTATCTATTTACCCACCAGAGGTCACCAGCAGACATGGCAGTGTCCAAAGACACTGAACCAGGGCTCCAGGTTTTCTGTCTGATTTTAAAATAGGTAAAATATAATCTAGCTACGAGGGATGCTACTAGAAAGAAGAATAAAGGAGAATTATGAAGGAAACTTCTTCCATGACATAAAGATTAACACGTTCCCTCAAAGTGTTTAGATTTCTGATAAAGGATGGAATCAAGTGAACACTCTGTGTTTTATTAAACTATTATTCATTAAAACATCTTCCTCCGTGGAATTAAATGTGAAATGTGTTCATGTTATCTCCTCCAGATGCTCCGAGCTTTAACATGTTTTGCATTGTGTTTGTGAAAAACGTTTCCTGCTTTGTGCCTCTGGACATTTGCAAGTTGCCATTATATCTACCCTTTAATGTGAATAACTTTAAACACTTCTCCTCCAGATGCTCCAAAGCCTCCCTCTGTGTCAGTGAGTCCCTCTGCTGAGATAGAGGAGGGCAGTTCAGTGACTCTGACCTGTAGCAGTGATGCTAACCCAGCAGCTAGCTACACCTGGTACAAGACGGATGGAAATGCACATATACAAATATGTTTTTATTTTTCAGGTGTCAGAGGTCAAACCTGCAACAGAGTGATTTACACTGAGAGAAGCATCTGCGCCTTAAAAGGATCATCAGTGGACATTTCCTGCACGTACAGCAGCTTTGAAGATGATGTTAAATCTAAATTCTGGTTCATTCCTGAGCGTATTCATCAGAGACAGAATCCCTCTCAACCTGAGGACCTTAGTGAAGACTCCCAGTATGCAGGTCGTGTTCAGATCCTTGAAACAGAGAGAGGACGCTCCACTCTGAGGACCTCTGACCTGAGAGACTCAGATTCAGCTCAGTATCTCTTCAAATTCAAAACACCAAGCTTTGAATGGGGGATTGATTTACCTGGAACAACTCTGACTGTCACAGGTACTGATCAACACACCCTGATGTAAATACACCAGGACAGTTAAAAATACTCTAAATGTTGATAATGATCAATCAGTTTGTGTAATGAATGTTTGATGAATAGACACTGTTGTTTTTCTCTATTTATTTATCATCATTTTTTTCTGTTGCTTTATTGAAAGGTGCTATATCAATAAACTTGCCTTGCCTTATTATTGTTTCTTGTTCTAACGTCCAGCTCTCCAGGTGCAGGTGATCAGAGCAAAGGTCTACAACTATTCTACCGAGGCAGAGCTGAAGTGTCACAGCAGCTGCAGTCCAGCTGGTTCTCTGAACTACGTCTGGTTCAAGAACGGAGAGAAAATCACATCCACGAATACATCTTCTTATGAAGGCTGGTTTCAGCCCAGAGACAACATCTCTTGTGCTCTGAAAGGACATGAAGACTTCCCCTCTCCTGCAGTGTGTGAGTTTACTCATACACACATGAACTGACATTAAAGACATACTGTACATAACCTCATCGGAGTCTTCTACAGTACATTACAGACAACCATAAAGATAAAAACAAGTATCCTACAAGCACTTTAGCTTTCAATAAACCCAACATGTTAAGTGTTACATACAGACATTACTTTGTTATGAATACAAATATGTACAGTTCTTTTTTAATGACATTTTGAAGTATAAAAACGTTGTTGCTGCATCTAATGCTCTGCTTCCTCTGCTCCTCTCCCGTACGGGATACCCCAAGGCTCTATTCTTGAGCCAATTTTATTTTCCCTGTACCTGCTCCCACTGGGCGCTATCATTAAAAAAATATGGCGTCTCATTTCATTTTTATGCAGATGACTCGCAAATCTACATGCCCCTGAAAATAAATGACCCAAACCCTCAGCAACGTCTGTCTGACTGTCTGCAGGACATCAGAGCCTGGATGGCCTTAAACTTTTTAAATTCAATGAAAAAAAGACTGAGGTGATAATATGTGGACCCAGTGGTGGCCCCAATGCCCCGCCTGTGCTGGATTCTCTTGTCCCATATGTGAAACCCATTGTCACAAACCTGGGTGTACGGATTGATCGTGATTTTAAACTAGACAAACAGATCAATTCTGTGGTCAAATCCAGCTTCTTTCAGCTAAGAACTTTAGCAAAGGTCAAGCCTTTCCTTTCTTTTGATGACTTTGAGAAAGTAATACATTGTTTTATATCCACTAAACTGGATTACTGCAATGCTCTGTACATTGGAGTAAGCGAGGCTTCCCTGTCTCGCCTACAGCTGGTCCAGAATGATGCTGCACGCCTCCTTACAAGGACAGGCAGGTGTGAACATATTACGCCTGTACTCGCCTCTTTACATTGGCTACCAGTCAGTTTTAGAATACGATTTAAAATGTTACTGTTTGCATACAAAGCCCTAAACGGTTTAGCCCCACCGTACCTGGCAGATCTTTTAAAACCAAACACACCCACACGGTCACTGAGGTCTGCTGACAGACTCCTTCTGGTCATCCCTAAATCAAGGTTGAAGCAGCGAGGAGACAGAGCCTTTGCTGTTGCAGCTCCAAAGTTATGGAACGAATTGCCCCTCCAGGTTAGACTTGCCCCTCCAGGTTAGACTTGCCCCTCCAGGTTAGACTTGCCCCTCCAGGTTAGACTTGCCCCTCCAGGTTAGACTTGCCCCTCCAGGTTAGACTTGCCCATCCAGGTTAGACTTGCCCCTCCAGGTTAGACTTGCCCCTCCAGGTTAGACTTGCCCCTCCAGGTTAGACTTGCCCCTCCAGGTTAGACTTGCCCCTCCAAGTTAGACTTGCCCCTCCAGGTTAGACTTGCCCCTCCAGGTTAGACTTGCCCCTCCAGGTTAGACTTGCCCCTCCAGGTTAGACTTGCCCCTCCAGGTTAGACTTGCCCCTCCAGGTTAGACTTGCCCATCCAGGTTAGACTAGCCCCTCCAGGTTAGACTTGCCCCTCCAGGTTAGACTTGCCCCTCCAGGTCAGACTTGCCCCTCCAGGTCAGACTTGCCCCTCCAGGGGTTAGACTTGCCCCTCCAGGTTAGACCTGCCCCTCCAGGTTAGACCTGCCCATCCAGGTTAGACTTGCCCATCCAGGTTAGACTTGCCCCTCCAGGTTAGACTTGCCCCTCCAGGTCAGACTTGCCCCTCCAGGTCAGACTTGCCCCTCCAGGGGTTAGACTTGCCCCTCCAGGTTAGACTTGCCCCTCCAGGTTAGACTTGCCCCTCCAGGTTAGACTTGCCCCTCCAGGTTAGACTTGCCCCTCCAGGTCAAACTTGCCCCTCCAGGTCAAACTTGCCCCTCCAGGTTAGACTTGCCCCTCCAGGTCAGACTTGCCCCTCCAGGTTAGACTTGCCCCTCCAGGTTAGACTTGCCCCTCCAGGTTAGACTTGCTCCAACTCAGCCTGTTTTTAAATCTCGTTTAAAAACCCACTTCTTTTCCCTGGCATTTAAAGAACAGGTGTGACACGCTTTTACATTTGGGTTTTTATCTTACTAGTGTTTTGTATTGTTTGTACGTCATGTAGGAGACTCAGTCTGTGGCTTCTGATCTGGTTTCATTGTCTCGTGTTTCACATTTGTTTTTTATGTATGTATGCTATGTTTTTATACAGTTGTTGATGAACAGCACTTTGTTCAGCTCTGTTGTTTTAAATGTGCTATAGAAATACAATGGATTGGGATTGGATTGGGATAATGTTTGATGTTATACCGTTTATTTTACTTAGATGCTCTATTAAAGCCAGTTAACAGAGAGAAGCATGAGTTGTGAAGCCATTAATATTAAGATTAAGCCATTTCAGTGGCTTTCTCCATAAGCAGGAATCTTTGATTCGACACCTGATCAAATTACAATATAGATGACTAGGGATAGTTTACAAATAAATTATAAAATAGTAAATCATGTGTCATAAAAAAATATAAATGTTAACATGAATTTTCTCTTCCAGATCCTCCAAAGCTCCCCTCTGTGTCAGTGAGTCCCTCTGCTGAGATAGAGGAGGGCAGTTCAGTGACTCTGACCTGTAGCAGTGATGCTAACCCAGCAGCTAGCTACACCTGGTACAAGGAGGATGAAGACTCTCCAAAAGCTTCAGGACAGATCTTCAACATCACTGACTTCAGAGCTGAACACAGTGGGAGTTATTCCTGTGGAGCCCAGAACAAGTTAGGACGTAGTAACTCCACCTTACATCTGACTGTTGGAACAGGTAAGTTCTCTACATTCACCAGACCTGATTCAAGTTTGTAATATGAAGCAACCCAAGCATATTCAAAATGTCAGTGTCCAGGGAGGAACCTCCATGGTGTCAGAGGTGGATCACACTGACAATGTGATTGATCAATCTAGTAGTTAGAAGTATCACATATGTGTTCATATTTCAAGGGAGTTCACCAATGATAGTGAATATCATCAGGACGACTCTGGGGGTCTTGATGCTGGTTCCTGTGTTTCTCCTGAGTCTGTGGACGAGGTACAACCATATCAATTCATCACTTCACACATCCTTCTAACATCTTTTGGTTTACTGTTATGAAATACAATCTGTATTTGTTGTTGTCCTTAATCCAGGAAGAAGAAAGCTCTGCGCTCCACCACTGAAGCACATGAACCTGAAGAGATAGAGGTGAGAGAGAGCGGACCTATTGACAACATTACCCCTTCGTCAAAGCTATACTGTGGCTCATAAATGCAATGAGAAGAGAACTTGTGATCAAAAACAACTTCCTGAGTTGAAACCAGTAATTAATTTAGCCAAGAAATAATTGGGGTCAACTTTAAAATATGAAAAATGTTTTATAAAATCTTAAAGTATATGCAGGTTTCATGAATGAGGGTCTAATTGTATCTTCTCTCTCTTCATCAGTTGGACTCTATCCCTGAGTATGAGAACAACTCACACACTGCAGCACAGAGAGAAGACAGAGAGGAGCAGGAAGACCTGGTGTGAAGTCCAGTCAGATTAGAGCCTCCTGCATCAGGTAAAACGCCGGGTTACGTATTGTAACCCTTGTTATATTAGTAGAGGGCGGAGCCTGTGAGAGATATAACAGGCCCACTCCACATTTAGAGTCACAGTTCCAGCTGTAACTTTACACAAAGTTTCTGTGATTTTCTTCAGACGCTCACCTGATGGAAACAAAGAAGAAGGACGTTGAAATGTCCCTGAGGAGAGCGAGGCTGTGCACGATGTGTGCGAAGTGGATATATTCACGTTCAACTCTTAAAGCTTTTACTGTCAGTTTTCAGTAGCAGCAGCTTGTAGCTTTAGGCGCCGTTTACACGAGGAGAAAACTGCTTGTATCTGCATAGTTTCGCGTGCGTATAGCCCTATTATTTACACGAGGCCGATAGAAACTGACCCCACAAACGATAACGGGTCCCAAGGTGGATAGATTTGCAAACGAAACGCTCTGGGGGGTCAACCGAGTCCGTGTAATCACCTCTATACGAATATTTCCTGAAAAAATAGCGAAAAAAAAAAAAAATAGCACCTCTCCTGCTCATTGCTGTAGCAACCATCAAAAATAGCTGTGTTAATTAAACGCACAAGGGGTTCTTGAATGAAATAATATTATAAAAGGCAAACCAGAATTGTTAACGCCCAATATACTCCTTAAACAAAATAAACAGAGTCAGATTTCATGCATTGATCCATTATATTGACAAAGGTGCATCTCACCCGGTGTTTGTAGAGAATATCTCTCTTTTTGAGCCGTCCTCTCGATGCAATATCCACAGAGACGTGCTTCTTGGTTTCTTTCAGTTAACTTCCCCGTTGCATTTATCCATATGCTGAGGAAATGACTATATCCCGCTGAATACCAGCAATCGCCACAGACACTGACTTCCTCCTGTCAGTAGCTACTGCTAGTGCTACTGCTACTGACCATGCTACAGATATTAGTGCAAAAATATACAGCTCCTCTACCACAACCATCAGCAACAACAGATTCGGTTTCTTTCAGTTTCTTTCAGTTTCAGTTTCAGTTTCAGGGCTTAAACAGAAGGGTAGCCATGGCAACATTGCTGCGGGGCTGCTCCAGGCTGCTCTTCTTCGCGGCTTTTGGTGTATTTTGGCGGAAGTTACAGCGCCACTTACAGTCCCAGCATATGTACTACAGCGTTTCCAGCGGCCTCGTTTAAACAGACACGTTAAATGAAACAAATGCATGTGAACGGAAGACTTTTTTGAATACGCATACTGTGCATAAACGCAAACGGTCCCGTGTGAGCGGGGCCTTAGAGAATGAGCTGCTGGCAGCTTGAAGTGAATCATGTCGAGGTGTCAAACATGATTTATCGTTAAGACCAGCCGGTGGTCAGGTGCTCTATATTACTGCTTCAACTATGTGTACATGCTTATTTGTTATATGCAGACTGCAGAGTTGTTGATATTACAAAAGTCTAGTCAAATTGTTTTTTTTTATTTCACATAATAAATAACTTTGAAAAATCCTCATCAGTGTCTTGGTTAATAACTGTCCTGCTGACAGAGCCAATTAAGTCTATTCAAAACAGAGAGAGCCTAAAAACATCACATTTCACTCCATGTACAGTTTAGATGTTCACACCATGAAACATAAGCTCACTAGAAGACCTTGTTAGATGTTACTGTGTAAGATTCAAATCAGAATAAATCAACAGCCAGCTCTACAACAAGTGAAGGACCATCGGACGAGTGTTTGGAAAAGATCAGATTCAGGTTTTCTGTTTCACTTTGCGGTATATAATGTTTCATTATTAGCTAGCAATACAAAAACAAAATGTAATAAGTGTTGCCTTTGTATATCTCCCATATTGTCCCTATGTGGTGATGTGTCACTATAGGAAGGAAAGGAGCCACAGTGTTCATAAGGATCTGAGATGTTTCTGATATGAAGATCCACAGACAGAGTTTTCAACTGAGAATCTATTTCAATGATTTGCCTTTGGAAAAATGCTGATATTCATATTTTACAAACCACCCTCCCTTTCTCTTCCATCACCCTGACTCTTTATCCCTCAATCCTTCCACCCCATATCCATTCATCCTTTCATCCCTTGACCTTTCATTCCTTAATGTGTCCTTTTCCTTCACTCCTCTATTCATACACCATACAGTTTTTCTTTCTCTCTGCCCTCATCTATTTCAAGTTCTATGTAAATTCAAGTGAAACCCGTTTTAAAGAGTTGCTTTCCAATCAGTCAAAGTGTGAAGTGTAAGTCTAATATACAGTAAATTACCTCAGATGTTAAAAGACTAAAATGGCAATAAGTTTAACTCATTTAATCTTTAAAAACAAAAGATGCATTTAAATGTGCCAAAACAGTCACTGATGGATGTTAGAATGTGTCTCAGGGTCCTGGTTCAGTATCTGATGTTTCACTGTCCTCTAGTGGGGGATCTTAAAGGGGACCTATCATGCAAAATGCACTTTTGTACGTCTTTTCTAAATGAATATGTGTCCCCGGTGTTCCAGAGAACTCACCAAGTGTCAGAAAACACAACCCTCTCTATTTTCCTCCATACCCAAATCTCTAAAAAAGGGGCTGCAACGGATCTGATAAAAACTGATCCAGATTTGAACACTGTCCTGACGTCAGGACGGTGGCGCTACGGCTATTGGGCCAACTCCACCAATCAGGAGGAGACAGCCACGGACATTGCCGTTCGAAAGCGCTGGAGACGCTGTAGTACATATGCCAGGCCTGTAGATGGTGCTGTTCTCACAGAATCAGCCCTTGCAAAAACAGAGCTAGAAATTGTCAAATTGAGCAAAATGAGGCATGGCTAAAATGCATGATCTGTTTGGTATTTTGAAAAAAAAAAAGTATAAATATGCCTTATATAGGTATGGTCCTACACTATATTATTCAAATATAGCATGATAGGTCCACTTTAAGTGAGACACATTCAGGCTTCATCACTCAGAGAGCTCCCTCCACCGTCTGCTTTGAAGGATCAGTTCACCCAAACTAAAACACTTATTTCCCCCTTCGTGACGGTCTGTCTGTTTTCCTGTTTTATTTTCAGAAGTGTTCACCCCCTGTCTTATGTCTGTGTCTGCTTCCTGTCTCTGTGTTTTCCCTCCTTTTTGATTTTTGATTCTGTTAACCGGGTACCATTGTGTTTTTCCTGCCTGCCTAGCTCTGTCTTGTCCTTTGAGTCGTTATGCATGTTTTTAAGTTCTGTTTTTTCTGTTTGTTTTGTGGGTTCTTTGAGATTACTAAATTAAAAACATGACTTAATTGTGTAGTGGGTGTTAACTGGCATTTGGCTCATCATGCATACTAATAATCTAAAGAGGAAGGAAATCTAGTCTCTTAACATCCTGATATCCGTCTTCTGCTCATTGCTACAGAGGAAAGGCATCTTTGAACACATGGTTCCTCCTTCACTGTGAGTAGAAACAGTTTCTTGATGTAATGATTCTGTATACCTCCTGTGAACATTATTTAATCTGACATGTTTTATAGTCTCTCAGAGAGGAGAGGAGCAGCTATGAGTCTAACTGCAGCAGCGAGTGGATTAGTCGTCTTCCTGCTCTCTGTGTCAGGTACTGTACATCTACACTTACATTCATCACATGAACAGAGGGGATTCTGGGAAATGTGGGACTTGTAAAATCAGGTCTCATGTGGGAATAAGTGGGATGGATTTGTGTAAAAGGCAAACCCAGCAGGAACATTTTAAATGTATTTGTGTGTAGAATTGTAGAAACTCAAAGACGTTACTAGTTTTTTTGATGGATATTCTGCAGATCTTATCGTGCGTTGCCACTGTCCTTTGCTCCAATCATCTGGATCAAATATCAGTTTGCTTATCACCTTAACAAGCGTTAAAATGAGAACATAGTGTATGCAGAACTGTTCCATCCTCTCTCTGTGAAAACATTTTGCTTTGTTTTTTTCTTAAGACGACTTCAAGAATCTCCAGCTCTGTTTTTATTAAGTTTAAGTGATTTAGAGAGATATTCTTATTCTAAATCATAACATATTGACTCAACTCTTATGTCGCCATACCTCTGCACCAAACCCTTCTAGTTCCTTCTCTCCTCTCTGACCTCAGAGTTATATTTCCACACTCTGAGTTAAAAGCAGTCTTCTTCTTTTTCTCATCTGTATATCAGACAGGAGCTGCTCACACCTCAGTGCTCTGCATTTAGAGTTTTTTGTCACACTTACCTCAGCAGCATCCTGACCACAGAGCGAGCAGAGAGGAAACTACAGAGAATCTCACACTATTCTAATTAATATCAGGGATGCAAACTCATCAGGTATGAAAAAGGTAACAAGGATTCGAGCCCCCCCGACCCCACGGAATATCGGCTTTAAAATGAGGAATAACAGGATGTTAGCAGTCACAACAACTAAAGCAGTTAATAATAACAGAAACACCAAAGAGTCACATCTAATAGAAATGTATAAAAGCATTTATTTTAATTGTGTAACAGTCAGTTTATAATTTTGGCAGCACTGTTGAGCATTTTGAAAATGTATTTTCATGCCTCTGTGCAAGGCTTAGTCTTTCTATCTGTATAGCCAGTGGTGTAAAGTAACTAAGTTCATAAACTCAAGTACTATACTTGGGTACAATTTTGAGATACTTATACCTTATTTAAGTATTTCAATGTTTTGCTACTTTGTTCTTCTTCTCCTCTACAGTTCAGAGGTACATGGTGTACTTCTACTCCACTACATGTATTTAATACCTTTAGTTACTTTACAGATCTGGATGAATGATGTGAAATATAATCAAGTGTTAAATCAGACTTTAGTTCCACCTGGAGTAAATCCACAAGCTGCCCTGCAGTATACAAAGTCATTCAAACTAGCTGCACCTTTACCAGCTTTGAGAACACTTTCATGATCAATCATTATAAAACATATCATATATATTATTCTGAAATGGACCAATCTGCACAATGACTACTTTTACTGTCTCTACTTTCACTATATTTTGATGAGAATACTTTTCTACTTTCACTTGAGGAACATTTTGAATGCAGGACTTTTACTGAAACAGAGTATTCCTACACTCTGGTACTTCTACTTTTACTCAAGTACAAGATCTGAGGACTTCTACTTTTACTCTAGTACAATACCTGAGTACTTCTACTTTTACTCTAGTACAAGATCTGAGTACTTCTACTTTTACTCAAGTACAAGATCTGAGTACTTCTACTTTTACTCAAGTACAAGACCTGAGTGCTTCTACATTTACTCAAGTACAAGATCTGAGTACTTCTACTTTTACTCAAGTACAATACCTGAGTACTTCTACTTTTACTCTAGTACAAGATCTGAGTACTTCTACTTTTACTCAAGTACAAGACCTGAGTACTTCTACATTTACTCAAGTACAAGATCTGAGTACTTCTACTTTTACTCAAGTACAAGATCTGAGTACTTCTACTTTTAATCAAGTACAAGACCTGAGTACTTCTACTTTTACTCAAGTACAAGATCTGAGTACTTCTACTTTTACTCAAGTACAAGATCTGAGTACTTCTACTTTTACTCAAGTACAAGACCTGAGTACTTCTACTTTTACTCAAGTACAAGACCTGAGTACTTCTACATTTACTCAAGTACAAGACCTGAGTACTTCTACATTTACTCAAGTACAAGATCTGAGTACTTCTACTTTTACTCTAGTACAAGATCTATACTTATACCACCTGTTTATAGCCTATGAAAACAACTATTTGAAAACGAAGGCTAAAGCTAACGTTAGCAGTGACAATGTATGCTAGTTAGCTAGCTCAACGATAATATTGCGACAGAAAAACTTTTCAGTGCACATCACGCTCTGCCGCTCCGACAGGGAGCTCTGCTCTGAACACCTGAACGGCCCGTTCTAACAGCTGTTCACCAGCGGTCCAGTCTGTGCCACAGTGACTCCGGACCGCACAGTTAATATTAACGAACGCACCGTAGGTAATGTAGCTGCTGAAGCTAGACCCTCATCCCGGAGCAGCAGAGCCTTATTATACATCCATGAGCAGAGCCGACAGGCAGGAAGACTCCAGCACACAGCTCGCGCTGCATTATAATATATAAAAAAAGAACACCATGCGTGTCATGATGGCACATAACAGCTCGCGGCCGCAGATTACTCCGGGTCCCAGACCCCCCCCATACCCCAAAAATATTTTTATTGCAGATCTACATGAATCACACAAACGACCTATTTTGGATTCAAAACGGCGAATGTCGCCGAAAGGTGACAAGTTTGCATCCCTGTAATATGATCGCTAATCCTTCACTGTTCATTTATATGAAGGCATTTTCCAATCTTGTGTCAAACTGAACATACCCTTTTTGCGTAGACTTCTGTTCTGCCTGGTTTGATTAAGAAACAACAAAGTCAAAGAGTATCATTGGTTTTAAAGTGCCTAAGAAGGAATTCACATGTGTGTTTCTGCTCGATCCAGTAAAGTCTGTAAAAGGTTTATTTTTACATTCTTTGTTTATAGATTAACTTTGATTATAGTTTCTGGTGTGCTCTGTGTTTCAGTGGTTCAGGGTCAACGTGGCTGGGGAGTGAGTTACACTTCTACTGAGATCTGTGCAGTGAAAGGATCAACAGTGGAGATAAACTGCAGCTTCACATACCCATCTACATTGAGAGGTCGTGTTAACACATTAGAGAAAACATTCTGGTTCACTAAAAAGAAAGATGGTGAATTTGTAGATCTGACCACAGACTCAAAGTATGCAGGTCGTGTAGAGGATCTCTGTGGAAACAACATCTGCACTCTGAGAATCAGAAACCTGACAGAGAGCGACTCAGATCAGTACAGGTTCAGGATCATAACAAACCAAGATGCATACTGGGGTAATCCTGGAACCACTCTGTCTGTTACAGGTAACATTTACACTGGGTTTATGACAATAACTGAGTTATAACAATTCATTTCTTAATTTCAACTTCTTGCAAATAGTGTGAATGTTTTGATTTATATTTATGTATGAACATAATGACAGTTTTGTTAATTCTAGCTTTATTCAGATCTCCAGGTGGAGGTGAACAGATCAGGATCGTCTACTCTTCAGTGTCTCAGCAGATGTTCACCTGGTCAAACTTCCTACATCTGGTTTAAGAACGGACAGGAAGTGAAGGAAAATACATCTTCTTATGCAGACTTCAGATATGATTCAGCAGACAGTTATTCCTGTGCTTTGAAGGGATATGAGGACTTCCCCTCTCCTTCAGTGTGTGAGTTTACTCAAAGTCTTCCACTAACATAATAACATTAACATACAGTATAACATATATCATCATTGCACTCATGTATCTATTTACCCACCAGAGGTCACCAGCAGACATGGCAGTGTCCAAAGACACTGAACCAGGGCTCTAGGTTTTCTGTTTGATTTTAAAATAGGAAAAATAAAATCTAGCTACGAGGGATGCTACTAGAAAGAAGAATAAAGGAGAATTATGAAGGAAACTTCTTCCATGACATAAAGATTAACACGTTCCCTCAAAGTGTTTAGATTTCTGATAAAGGATGGAATCAAGTGAACCACCCACTCTGTGTTTTATTAAACTATTATTCATTAAAACATCTTCCACCGTGGAATTAAATGTGAAATGTGTTCATGTTATCTCCTCCAGATGCTCCGAGCTTTAACATGTTTTGCATTGTTTTTGTGAAAAACGTGTCCTGCTTTGTGCCTCTGGACATTTGCAAGTTGCCATTATATCTACCCTTTAATGTGAATAACTTTAAACACTTCTCCTCCAGATGCTCCAAAGCTCCCCTCTGTGTCAGTGAGTCCCTCTGCTGAGAGAGAGGAGGGCAGTTCAGTGACTCTGACCTGTAGCAGTGATGCTAACCCAGCAGCTAGCTACACCTGGTACAAGACGGATGAAGACTCTCCAAGAGCTTCAGGACAGATCTTCAACATCACTGACTTCAGAGCTGAACACAGTGGGAGTTATTCCTGTGGAGCCCAGAACAAGTTAGGACGTAGTAACTCCACCTTACATCAGATTGTTGTGGCAGGTAAGTTGTATGCATTCATCTACTACCAGTTTGTTTCAGTCACATCATCTGCATGGTAGTCAGATTGTTCAATGTTATTCTTGGATCAGGGATAGGGTTCATAATGTTTTCTTTAGATTCAAAAATAAAAGTAAAGCCTTTATATTTTTGTAAAGTATTTACCATTTATTGGGACATTAGATGGCACTTCTACTTATTTTTTTCACTTATTTCTCTCTAATTTCAACTACGTTTTTAACCACAATTACATTTGTTCATTCATTTTTATCGAAAATGCAGAAACTGGACCCCGATCAAACGTTATCATGAACAGTGGCGGCTGATAGGGCGCCGCCCTCCCTAAACCACACACATATACATTATTAATAATAATAATACTGATTAATTATATAAATTGTCAATATTTGTATGTTTAAAATATGGAATGCACCCAGAAATATGTGTAAAAGATGATTTTAAAATAATTTGCGCAATACATATGCTTTTCCTACACTATGACTGAAGTTCTGTGCTGCGGCGATGGAGCCCCACGGAGTCTCTGTAGCAGGTTAGCCAATTGCTGATTCAAGATATGAACATATCTGTCATAAACTGTAGTAGCCAATCAGCGTCCTCAAAACTAATACCAGAGCGGCGATTATTTTATCCCCCAACTAAGCAACTGCTACGCAGCTGGACGCCGGCCACAGGAGGTGAGGAAACACAATGAGGAGGGGGATAAAAACAGGCACATATTATCCAAAATAATGAAGTTTTGTGGAGCTTCTGAGTTGGCTTTGCGTGGGCATGACGAGACTCTTCAGTCAACCCTGGCACTTTCAAGGGGTTGGTGGATTTAGTTTCCTCCCTGCACACTGAGCTGGAGGAGCACCTGGAGACCGCCTCCGATTTTAAAGGCACGTCAAAGACCTACACCACATTGATTTTAAGAATAAGAGTAATTATTATTAGTTTGTTACATCTCTTTGTTAAAAATCCCATATGTTGCACTCTCATTTGCACATCTTCTTTTTATATATATCCTGCTTACTTGAAATAAACGGTTATTTGTTTTTGTTTTTTTATTATTGAGTGTTCTTGTATTTTAATGTGTATCTATAAATAGTCATGTAAATAAGTTAGGGGTATAGGTATGTATATACATATTTTATATATATTGTATATCCTTTATTTTATACCTTGGGACCGTGGGAAACAGTATTTCGATCGTTCTGTGTGTTCAAACATATTTTGAGATTGACAATAAAGTTGACTTTGACTTGATTAGAGAAACACCGCTGTGTTACCTGTTCTCTGTTGATCTCTGTTTCTCAGGATCATGGAAGCTACCAGCTGCTGCTGCTGTAACAATCCCTGTTGTTCTCCTGGCTGTCATTTCTCTCTCTGTCTTCCTGTGGATCAGGTGAGCAGATCTGATCGTCTTAATCGTTGTTTGTTAAATCATTGAAAGTCTGTTTGTCTGGTGTCAAACATTTGATCTTCTGTTTCTTCATAAACTCTCCTGACCAGAAGAAAGAGGGCTTCTAGAGACTCGTCTGAGCCTGAAGAGAGAGCGGACACCAGGGAAGAGGTGAGAGGAGATGCTTACGTAATTAATCTAGTACAAAAGAAAACATGTTACACTCAATGTATAATGATGGTGGTCTTTAGGTGCTTATTGAACATTGATCTGACAGAGAAAGACCTCTTGCTGCTCTTTTTACATCCTTCTATAAAAAGTTCATTTCTATCACAATCTCTTTGACTCTCCTCTTAGACGTGAGTACATTCCAAGTACATCCAGAGGTTTTCCTATCTTTTGTCCTTTAATCTTTTCTGTCATAAAGCAGCATGTTGATGAAGCAGAGATATTTTTCCATCATTACCACAGCTGCTGTTGCTTTGGCCTTTTCTGTCCTGGGTCCATTCCTCTGTAAATGAAATATCTATGAATGTGAAAATGCGTAGTTTAAAATGTTTTCTTCCCTGCTGTGTGTACCTGATCAGCCGGAGCAGCAGGATGACCTTCAGTATGCCAGCGTTCACTTCTCCAACAACCGGGCAGACCCTCTTTACTCCAACATGAGAGCAACTCGGCCCCTCAGACACACGGAGCAACAGGAAGTCCCGGAGTACGCAGCCGTCAAGTTCAGCAGTGCTGCCCCGAGGTGAGCAGATCCTCACATATCATTTAATTCCCTTTGCATTATTATTACCACTAAAAATCTCATCATTTATCTCTCAGGACCAGAGGGCAGGACCCTGGAGAGGATCCAGCTGCATTTTACAGCACGGTCAACAAATCCAGATAAACACAGCAGGCGTTGCTTTTGAATGATGATACTTCAGTTTTTTAACAATCACATTTCTATGTCCACAGGGTAATGTGGATTTATTAAATACATGTCTCAGGGTGGACCTCTCCAAGAATGAGGCGATGACTTTTCAGCCTAGTTTTTATTAATCTGAATGGCTCAAATGTAAAGATTTTGTTAAGTATTTCACAGCTTAATGTACTGAATTGTAAATATTTCTTTTGTAACATGATTTTTGCCGCAAAGAAATTCCAAAATGTAGAGATGTTGCAACAAGGGATCTGATCCCTAACTGCTGGCTGGTTGGAACATGTAGATATTACTAAAGAGTTATAATTTACTGATGAAAAAACAACTTCCATTGTTTTGTAAGAACATTTATCAACTTTATTCAAATAATATTTCTTTACAATGTTCTTCTTCTTGTCTAGACTGAAATATCAACAACTACTTCCAAAATAAATGTAGTTTTTGAAAAGCACATTAGGATAGTGATGTGTCGGTCGCGAACGAGCCGATTCTTTTGAGCGGCTCTTTGGTACGAACGAGGGGAACCGAGTCGTACTTGGTGAGAGCCGTTCTTTTTATCGTTCAATCGTTGGTCCGCACTCACTGTCTGCCAAAATCCACTCGCCTTTTAAAAAGCTTGATTTTGTTCCCCAAACGTATTCTGTGAAGACCCGCCCCTACTCTGTTTGGTAGGTTTCAGCACGAGGAGTGAGATGGGGTGGGTCTTAACGGAATACGAGAGAGAGAGAAGTCATAACAAGTGGAACAGGACAGGTAGACGACGGGTTTTTCGGATGGAAAATGAGCCAAACGCGAAAACGCAGCAGCATTTGGACTTCAACCAAAACCCAGGCAGTGATAAAGCGCACCATTTGTAAAGGCGCCAGTGCTTCTCAAGCAGCAAGCAGGCCATAGGCCAGGAGCAGCTCATCTCCTGTTTTTGACAAAGCAGCTCACAGATTCTTCTCTATTTTTTTTTACTCTGTTTTTATAATACTTTAAATATTATTCAGAAGTAGTTTTCCTTTTTATTCCTAAATATTTTTGGTGTTGTTGTTCGATTTGCACTAAAATCTGTTTTGTACAAAGGTTTATTATACTTGTTTTTTTATATTGCCAATAAAAAGTGTTCTAATATTAAGAGTTGCGTGAATTTCATTCAAGGCAAGGCAACTTTATTTACTTAACACGTACAGAGGGTAAATTCAAAGTAGTACATTCACTGACATGATGACATGGATATGGCGCCACCTTGTGTCATGTTTACAATGCAGATTATTGACATTAGGTCTGGTAATACAGTCAATCATTATCCTGGTGATTATTTTGCAGATAAACCTAGTAACCCCACCCCCTTTAAAAAACGGCTATGTTGAACGGCTCTTTGAAAGGAACGGAGCCATAACATCCGGCTCCCTTCAAAGAGCCATAATTCCCATCACTACATTGGGATATTAGAGAGGAATCAAATCAAATCAAATCAAATCAAATCAAATCAAATCAAGTTTTATTTATATAGCACATTTTTAAAACGATTTTTGGTCGAGCCAAAGTGCTGTACATACAATAAAAATACTTTACAATAAAGACACTTTACAACAAATTCAACAGCACAGTTTGTTCAGAATATCAGTATGATTCTTCCTTCAGTCCTGTTTTTAGTGATAAACCACTCATAATTACAACAGGTTTTCACCTGAACAATTACAGAAGACCGCACATTATATATCGACATACATGAAGCTTCTGGTATGTTGCAACTGACAAACCACATGAACAAGTCAAGACACAGTATAGCCATAACATACTTTAAATAACTTTTATTTATGTAATGTTGTGAGTGAAGTGTGTGATGAGTGTAAAAAGATGTAACGCTGCTGTGTGGACGCTCCGTTACGGCCCGTCTACACAGCAGCGTTAAAAAATCTTGGAACGCTTCTGCCCATTCACTTTGAATGGGGCGACGTCACTTTGCCTCACTTTTCGCCGAACTGCATTGTGGGAAGCAGAGCGGAGATTTTCAGGATATTCAGGATTCAAAGTTGAGCAATGTTCAACTTTTGAAGCTGAGGTGGAAGCGTCAGCCAATCAAATCCCGTGTATGCAAATCTGACAGTTCAAGCGCTAGCCAATCAAACTGCGTGTATGCTGGGAGAGACACACCGCAGGTCATTTCCTCATATTCCAAAACATGGAGGAGAAATGAGCGGTAGGGAATCACCCGGTGCTTTATGACCAGTCCCTATTTACCTACCGGGATACAAACCGGAGGAGCCAGGCATGGAGGGAGGTGGCAGAGACAGTGGTAGGTTTTCGCCTGTTTGGGGAGTTTATATCCAGTTTACTTCGGGCTTTTTTGCTTCGTATGTCGGGGGCGGGAGATTCATGTGATTGGTTGTTGGTGCCTTGCTCGCAAAAAATCCCCAAGCTTCAGATACGCCCACCTCCAAGATTTTTTTTAACGCTGCTGTGTGGACGCTCCGCAACCCTAACCCTAAACCTAACCAAGTCTTCACCGTAAAATTAATGATTCCCCTCATGAGGACCTCCATTTTGTCCCCATAAGGGAGGCGAGTCCCCACACGTGACTGTGTAAACAGATTTAGGTCCCCACAAGTATGGTAATGCTAGGCCACACACACACACACAAACACACACACACACACACACACACACACACACACACACACACACACACACACACACACACACACACACACACACACACACACACACACACACACACACACACACACACACATAAAGTGGACCTATCATGCTATATTTGAAAAATATATTGTAGGGCCACACCTATATAAAACATGTCTGTGAAGTTTTTTTTTCAAAATACCAAACAGATCATGCATTTTAGCCATGCCTCATTTCTCTCTATTTGCTCTATTCCAGCCCTGTTTTTGCAGGGGGCTGATTCTGTGAGCTGCAGCTGACCACGCCCCCCTGCAGGAGAGGGGGGCCTGCTTTGAGATCAGCTGCTGGGCTCTCAGAAGAGGGGGAGGAAAAGAGATCTCCGTCCTCCGTGTTTTATTATATAGAGTCGTTATTCATTTGTGTTAAAGCTCAATAAATAGCAAAGAAGACCTTTGACCGGCACTTTTCTAATTTTGTCCGGAAGATTTAAACTTTAACGGACATGTTGACCGGTGAAAAAAAATCTAACTGAAACTGAAACTCTGCCGCACGGTCCCCTCGTTCCTTGGAAGAGGCGGAGAGGTGGGTGTTTGTCATCTGCTGGTGGACTAACCGGAGAGAATTACAGTGCTTGCCTCGACGGGGAGGGATTGCATTGAATTAAAGCAGGAGGAGCAAACGCTTGCATCGGGGAGGGAGAAAAAGAGCCACAGCGGAGAATAAACAGAAGGGTAACCATGGCAACCATGCGCGGGAAGTCTTCTTCGCTGCTTTTGTGCCAGACTACAGCGCCACTTACAGGCCTGGCATATGTACTACAGCGTCTCCAGCGCTTTCGAGGGGCAATGGCCGGCCGTGGCCCAACCCCACATTCCCCTGATATGTGGAGAGTTGGCCCATATAGGCGGAGCTCCCTGTTTCTGACGTCAGAGATATTTCAAATCTGTATCAGTCTGTATCAGATCCGTTGCAGCCCCGTTTTTAGAGATTTGGGTATGGAGGAAAAGAGAGAGGGTTGTGTTTTCTGACACTTGGTGAGTTCCCTGACACACCGGGGACACATATTCATGTATAAAAGACGTAGTGCATTTTGCATGAAAGGTCCCCTTTAAGTATGTTTGGAAATGTAGGACTTTTACTAAGTAACAGTGAAAGTTACAGTTAAAAGAGTGTTACATTTTAGTGTCACTACTTTTTAATAAATTAAGTAAAATTGAGAAGTTACTGCACACACACACGCACGCACGCACGCACGCACGCACGCACGCACGCACGCACGCACGCACGCACGCACGCACGCACGCACGCACGCACGCACGCACGCACGCACGCACACACACACACACACACACACCTTGTCTTTGTATTGTCTCTTTGCACTGCTGATAGCTCTCCGGAGTTCATACCTAGAATTTCTGAACTCCTCCAAATCTTGCTTTCAGCTTGGTACGCACCTCGCTGTTTATCCAGGGCTTTTGATTTGGGAATGTTCGTACAGAAACCTTCGTCATCGATGCATTTCCCAATGTAGCAGATGACCGTATCCGTGTGTGTGTTGATTTTATTGTCCTCAAACACACTCCAATCCGTAGATGCAAAGCAATCCTGCAGAGCTGAATCTGACTCCTCACTCCATCGCTGTACTGTTACCGGTCTGTCCCGTTTAAGTTTCTGCCTGTAAGCAGGAAGCAGCAGCAGCGTGCCATGTAATGTAATATAAGCATTTTTCCCTTTAAACTGTGGGTTTTCTCCGGAAGTGTTTCCTTGTACGATGTGAGGGTCTAAGGACAGAGGGTGTCGTATTGTCATACTGATATTCTGTACAAACTGTGAAGTCCACTGAGACAAATGTAACATTTGTGATATTGGGCTATATAAATAAACATTGATTGATTGAAGCAGTCAGTAGTATATACAGTGGCGTTTTCTCCCGGAGGCCAAGGGAAGCCAGGCTTCCCCTGTTTTTTCGGATTGTAGTTATAATTTAAATAAATAAATAAAAACACTTTGTTTTGTTTCGATAATTCTCCTTTGCTGTGTGTTGCTGCCGGCCCGTCTCTCCCCCACTCTCATTGAGTATTTTACAAAGAGTGAAACAATCAGCGCCCCTCTAGATGTTATGGTGAAACAGTAGATTGCATTCACTGTTGCGAGAGGAGGCCAGTCGGATCAGGCTTCCCTTGGTGAAAAAAATTGAGGGATTGACCAATCAGATGAGGCCCACGTGATGCCCCTGCCAACCTGTGATTGGTCAGGGCCATGCCAAGGGAAGCCAGCTAACTCTGGCTTCCCTTCAGAGGCGGCTGGCGATTTCACCTGAATAGATGAGATTGTTTATATTTTTTAGTTACTTTTGGACTACGGACTGAGCTAATTACAGAGACGAGGACTGTTGCTGCACTTGCCGTGTGTTAGAAAGGGAAGGGAAGAGAAGGTGGACTATCGCATGCAAATGCTTCTGTACATAATTGTTTTTGAATTCATGTGTTTCATACACGCCTACTGATACTTTGATGTGTACATAAAACTTTAAAGGTCTCCTGATTTACTTTGTGAATGAATGCTTCTTTTTTATTCATTACCGAATCTGCACTGCGCATTGAGCGGCTGGTATTGCATATGGGGGGGGGGGTGTGTCTGCATAAATTAATAAGAAAATGCTTAAATTAACAAAACGAGAGTTTCGGCTGGAGAGTGCGTGCGGACCTGTCGGTTAGATAACAGGCGTGTGCAAGTCCTGCATCTGTGTGATACAAATGTGTGTAAAATGATACCGGGCGCTGTAATCACTCATCTGGTTACGTTATTGACCACCCCCCCCCCCCCCCACAGTTTTCTTTTCACTTGAATCGCCAATCGGGTCAATAAAATATTAAAGTCTTCCAGTCCATGACTTTTCCTGAAAGTCTGTTATGTAGCACCCTATGTTGTTAAAA